CCAAGTACCACCCAAGGACTAGAGATGGACTGCGACTTAGTGAATAGGTTGCTCCAGAGCTGTTGTCTAAAATTATGATGGGGCTTCGCATAAATTGCCGTTAAGGTGAAGGAATTCCTTCTCGGAATATGGCAATCCACATGAAAAAATTGATGATTTTCCTCAAGAACTGAGATTCGAATCCGGTGGCTTTTCCACGCCATCACCATTCCACCAGACTGGCCATTACTAGGAATTATTCACTGGTTATCAAATCCCAAGGACGTTAAACAGCGAAACCTTTCATCCCTCTGACATTTGGTTTCAACAAGGAAAATGACACTGGGCTTGGACGCATCACACATAGGCTTAATATTTCGGAGGAGCCCTTTATTGCACGCTCCCCTTGTATTCCAATAAAGAATACTATCCATAATAATAATTAAAAAAAGAAGAGTACAGCTGCGGCCCATTAGGCCTCAAGAGGTGACTCTGGAACTATTGTCCCTGAAACACTACCGTCCTCGAATGGTTCACTCCCTGTTGGGCCGTCTGAAAAGGGCCCATTATTTTGATCCCCTGGATCTATTTGCATTTGTGTCTGGCCTGGATCATAGTGATGATTAAAAAGTTGGGCTTGCTCATCAATTAATGGATCCGGCCCGTTTTCTGCCACATTTGTTGCTTGTTCATTAACTTCCTCTATCTGTTTGTCCTCATCTTCACCCTCTAATGATAACATCATAATTTCGCCGCTTCTCATTTCATTCCTCATCATCTCTCTTGTCCTTTTCTCAAGGCGTCTCACTCTTTTTTCCTCACGTAGCTCCTCTGCCGTTTTACGTGGAACCACTACTATTGTACCTTCACTGGTCCCCTGTTGTTTCTTTGCCACACTCCTTTGTTTTACTTTTTGCTGTCGCAGGAACGTGGTGCGCTGAGGTGCGGCTAGGTGCTGTTCCTCCTCCTGTACGGGATTTGCATATGGAATAACGGCCACCCCTCCCTCATTCTCCTGACCTTCCACATAAGCCAAAATGCCAAACCTCGATCCCCTGTTTTCTGGCTGTGACGTCTCCGCCTTAGAGTCTCTAGTTTTCCGTTGCCGGCGAGGTTTCTGAACAACTCACCATTGATCCTGATCGACCTTTTGATTGGTCCGCAGTTCCTGGTCCAGTATTTGATCATTGGTCCCTTGATTCTCATTGTTGGCATTCCCTTCAGCAGACCTTGCTTTGTTTGGGCTAGTTTCACTCCTATGACCATAGATTCCACAGTTAGTACATAACATATGGAGCCCTTCATATTCTAGATAGTAATCTTCCCCATCCAAATGAAATCCAGACATGAGCTGTTTCCCCAGATCAACTAGAACACAAATGCGGGCATAATGACCCCTTAAATGACATGACGTATTCATATCAATTCTTATGGTCTCTCCAATTCTATTACCTATAATCGTGAGAGCTTCTTCATCATAATACTCCAAAAAGACTCTTGGTAATCTTACCCAAACTGCTACTTTATCAATATTTGCACGGGCTGGCCTAAACTGGGGTTCCCAAGGCCTTACAGTAAGGTAATGATCGTAGATCATCCAAGGACCTCCTGTTAAGGCGTTGAAGTAGTCTTCCTTATTGGTCAGTTTAACCACAAAGAATCCATGACCAATATTGATGAGATTAATGACTCCTCCTTTTGCCCATAATGACTGTAATCTAGCCAATAACGCTTTGTAACCAATGTTCCTATCTAGCAACTTCACAATGACTGCTTTCTTCCATGCTCTATACAACTTCTTTTTCATTCTTCCCGAGAAGCAGAACGTCGGAAAATTCCTGTCTGGATTTTCAATAGTTTTGAACAGAGGTTCTTTATCGCTTTCCTGATTTGCATCCTGTGACATATGAGTGTCTGAGTCAGTGTCGGAGTCGCTCCCAATGTCAGTTTGATCCCCCTTTGTCCCATCAACTCCTTTTAGTTTATCAGCGAAAGACAGTCCTCCAGTAAAATATTCAGGGGCTTTGCTACCAAGCTGGGGCCAATGGCCATCTAAAATGTTTGCTGCACTTGCATTCTTCGCGTTTTTAATCTTTTTAGAACTTCGTACTAACAGATCATCTTCTTCCTGGGAAGCAGGAACGAGGCGCGGATTTTCGTTTGAGAGCATTCTGAGAGAGCGTTAACTTCCTAGTGCACTGCAGTTAAAAACTGTAACTTGTTATCGACATAGACACCCTTAAGGGGTATGCATGGGCCGGGCATCATCTAGGCTGAGTGTCCGATCCGAATCATATATCGGATATTATGCTAGAAGTTTATAATCCCAATTGAAGTACAGCTGTCCAATTATAATGCAAAGTTGCAACTTTATAGCTTTGTTAACATTATAAATTATAAAATTACCCAAAAAAATTATAAATTATTAAAAAATCAATTTTCCAAAAAATATGCACTTTTTTAAATTATAGAAGATTGAAAAAAATAAATATAAATTTGGGAGACAAAATTGATTAAAGTTTTATACCTTATTTAAGATTATACTTAGGTTAAGTTGTTTATATTTATTATGTTCAATTCTCCAATCATACATAGTCATGGGTTTCATTTTTAAAATATTAGCATTTAATTATAAATTCACATGAAAAAATAAAACACATAATTGTGTGCGATTGGAGAACTTTGCATATTGAATATGAATAATTGGACCCAAATATTTTTCTTATATTTAATATTAAAACAAACCACTCTATTAATTCTAAAATTTAGAACTGTAGGGGCATTAGTTTTCAAAATTTTTTATTTTATGAAAATTAATACATATTTATTATAATTAATTAATTTGATTAATTTTTTAATATGGGTAAATTAATTCTAGAAATAAGATCCTATATAAAATATATAAATTTTTTTTCCATGAGAAAATTTCAATTAAATCCCACTGAAATCCTAAAATCTAAATTCAGATCTCTACTTTTAAGAAATTAAAATTAATATATATTTATTTTAAATAATTAATTTGATGATTTTTTAATATGTTTTAATTACATTTAGGAATAAGATTCTATATAAAATATAAAATACTTTTTTTAGCAAGTTAGATCTTGAGGTTCACTAGGTTAAGTAGACACATATTGTTCATGAACAATGTCCCCGCATCAATTACGAAAATTGAACCCATAATCTTATGGGTTATGAGTGACTACTTACCAATGAGACAAACTCTTCTTAGTAGACCTTAGAATTTATGAATTTAGTTAAAATATTAGAATGCATCTCTTTACAACGTAGCTAAAATTCTTTTTTGCTTTTTGTCAACTAAAATTTTTATTTTCTATTTTGAAGTATATATATATTCAGATAGATTTGTTAAATAATTTTAGGATAATTAATTTCTAGGTCCTTATAGATTCAACTAATTTTTAGTCTATTTCTTATAGTTTTTTATTTTGTCCTCATACTTTTACTTGTTTGTAGGTTTTTACAGTTTTTTCTTTTTTATCATATCCTTATAATTTTATCTATTTTTTAATTAGGTCTTTGTATTTTTTAATTTTATTTATTAATTTAACTCAAATTAATTAAATATATAATATTGAAATAGAAAGTATTAATAATAATTAATTTTAAATTAATTATAACATAATTAATTCATAATTATTAATTAATTTTAATAATTAATTATGAATGAATTTCAATCACACTATGTTTTTAGAAAATTTTGTATTATAACTCCAATTTTATAATTATCAAAATAAATAAAAGTTATAATTATAAAATAATTATAAATATATATTTAATTTAAAATTTTAGAAGAATATTAAAATAAAATTATTATGAAAGAATATTATTAGAATTTATAAAATGAAAAATTAAAAAAGTTATTTATAGATTATGCAAAAGATAAGGGAACTAAACAAATTTGAAGGACAAAAATTGTACTCCTCCGATTCTAAATATAAGATTTTTTTTGTAGTACAAATTGCACTATAAAAAGGATTTTATATTTAGGACCGGAGGAGTATTAGGGTTTTAACGGTCTAATAGGATATGTATTAAAATTATTTTTTTTCAAAATTTAAATTCAGGCCTTTCTGTAGTGTACAGCTAGTTTTTCTTTTGTCAACTAAAATCCTTATTTTCTATTTTTTGGTTGTTGTAGATCATGCGAAGGAAAGGGGAGTCAAACAGATTTCAAGAACAACAGCGGTATTAGGGTTTTAGGCTTCAGGGGATTTTTTCCCTAATAGTATATGTATGAAATTAATTGTTTTTCAAATCACTTTAGCTATTGTTTTACCTGAAACTTCAACTACTTTTTTTTAAGGGAAAACCATATTGGAGGTACCTATACTTTTTTTTAATTTTCAATTTGGTACCTATGTGTTTTTTGTTCTTAACTAAATCTTTATTTTTCCTCTATTAACATCATTAATCCTTATGTAGAGACTAAAAATATCAATAGAACAAAGTTATAAGTACTAATGTTGCTAAAAAAATAAAATTAAATGTTTAATTAAAGGGAAAAAAACACATAGGTACCAAATTAAAAATTGAGAGAAAGTATAGATACCTTCAATATGGTTTTCCCTTTTTTTAATACTTATAAAGTGCTAAAAAGTGTCCTATAAGTTTTTAACTACTTAACCGTCATTTTCCCAGAGCTCATTGTTTCATTTAAAAAAAAAAAGAAAAAAGAAAAAGAAAGCTTATTGCGGTTACCGTTATATGGCGCTTGAGTTGAACACAAAACATCGGCGCGAAGTTCTTTTATTGACAACCAAGCAAACGAAAAGCTCGAAGCATCAGAATGCTGGGGGAAACACAGCGAGAAAGAAAGAAGGTAAGAGAAACCCAGCAGTGGGCGGTGTCTTTTTCGATTTCTCTTCTCATGTTGGATGGAAATCAAAGAAGAATCTCAATCCACAGCATTCCGATATTCTTGTGTTGCTTCCATAGTGGGATTTCTTGAAGGCACTGAAAGAATTTGGAGAAATTTATACCTCGCTGTTTGCATGGCCTAATTGATATTTCAAAGCTTGCTCGATTGACTTTTCCTTCTCCATTGAGTCGAGCATCTTCCTTTCCTTTGCGAAAAGGTATTTTTATTTTTTTAAGCGTTTCATCTTGGGGCCTTAGAATTTAAGATTTTTAATCTCAAGATACATTCAGAAAAACTGAATTCAGGTTGTTATGGATAAACACTATCTCTTCTTAATTCTTATTGACCTAGTCCCTTTTGGATATTGGTTTTCTTTTTTAATGTTTGCATGTTACAGGCTGATGAAAACTTGTGGAAAATGAAACGAGAAAAAATTGAAATTTGTGGTAAACAAAGTTTTTTTTTTTTTTTGGTTTTGGTTTTCTCTAAAAGCTCAATCCTGGTTGCTTTTTCCACCTTGCAAGAGCAAAGTGTTCGTTAAGTTGTTTTTGTCTATCCAGAAATTCACCCGAAGGTTGGGGGGAGGGGTATTTAGTTGCTGTTTTTATTTTCAGATTAAAATGCCCTTAACAGTGAATCTGTAAAGGGATGACAATATACTGCTTTTGGATGCAGTCTCTTATTTTGTCGATTGACATGGCTGTTCCAAAAGTGGACAAAAAGATGCTTGAAGAACTTGAAACAATGGGATTTCCAAGGGCAAAGGCAACTCGAGCACTCCATTATTCTGGTTAGTCTATTTATCATATAAAAGATATTTCTTAGACGTGTCATTTCTTTTGCAAGCTGGTTTTTAATACTAAAATAAGTTCCCATTTTTTAGGCTATTTGTAATTTGTGTTATATTTCCTTAAACCAAGATGTTTCTCTTTTCCAGGCAATACTGATGTAGAGAATGCTATAAATTGGATAGTTGATCATGAGCATGATCCTGATATTGATGAGATTCCGTTGGTAAGTTTCTGTATCACTGTTTTCTTAATTTTAAAATATTTTTTGTGAGAATTTTTTTTTAAAAAAAAAAAAAATTGATGCAAGTTGGTTCCTGTCATGCACCAATGACAACATTGGTACTGATTTGACGAGGAAAAAATCTTAAAGACACTAAATTCTGTGAGAAGCAATGCGTTGAAGGTGAAATGCTGATCAAAGGTTTCACTTTCCAAAGCAGAAACCACCACCACAGGATTACAGATACATTAATAGCTTTATTTACATGGCTTTAAGTTTTTTTTTTTTAAGATTTTGATATTTCTTCTCGTACGGTATCAGGTTACACCAGAGTGATTTGGCAAAATCCTTCAGTTTGATAGGTACAAGATATGGTAGGTCGCTATGGTTAGGCGAACTCATCGTTTCAAATGTTCACATTTTTCCAGGTGGACGTAGATATTGAGATTGGTTCTTCTCAATCATTCCCTATAACAGAAGAAATGGAAATCAAAGCACAGAAGCTAAGGAAGAATAGTTCTCCTCATTCGTTCCCTATCACAGAAGAATCGCAAATCAAAGGACAGAAGCTAAGGTTTATTTACAGCTGCTCACACTATTTTCCAAGCAGTTGCTAGTTCTGACAAATTGACTTGATATAATTATTGACCACTGTAGATGATGTATTTCGTATGGTGCTATAACTTCACCTAAATAATGGAAATTTTGAACTCATTATTTCCCCTTCTTCTGGTTGGTTCCTCTTATCATTGATGCTCAGTAGGGAACAACTGCACAAGATGAAAGAAGAGAAAGAAAAGAAATTGGAGATAGAAAGGGAAAAGGTACATGCTTTTATTGTTCATAATTCAACAAGCTTCAAATAAATGTTAAGATCACACAAGAACTTATTGTTCATAATTCAATAAGCTTCAAATATTTGTTAAGATCAGAAGAATTTTTCTTACTATTTCAGCCCATTTTGGTGGAATCAACAAGAAGTTAGGATTTCAGTTAGCTCTGTTTTTCTTTTTTTTGTCTCGCAATAGTCTTTAACTGTGGCAACATTAATTCATGTAATTGTTTACTGCTCTCATTTCAGGAGAGAATCGAAGCAGGTAAGAAACTCAATGAGATGAAGCGAATTGCTGAAGAAAATGAAAGGCAACGGTATGTTCATATTTAATACTCCTCGGGTTCTAAATATACGACCTACACTATAAAATTGGGTCTTATATTTAGGACCAGAAGGAGTAATTGAGGTCTAAATTTTATTCTGGTGTTATAAGGATGTTAGGTGGTTCCACTTACGCATGTTGGTTATCAGACATATAGCCTTGCGGAAAGCAGAGAAAGAAGAAGAGAAAAGAGCAAGGGAAAGAGTCATGCGGAAACTAGAACAGGATAAGGTGAAGAACTTATTATCTATATTTTGACTTTTGACTGAAAATTTTTAACAACTTTTTTATATTTAATATGTTGAATTTGACAAATTTCTCCATCATTGCTTATAAAGTTCCTTCATCGCTAAGCATGAATGATTACGTCAATCTGTTGAACTCCAGTTAGAGATAGGAAAAACAATATAGACATGCGTTATTCTGACTGAAGAGGATGCGCATATAAATATGACAACATCAATCGCACATATGACAACATCAATCGCATATTATACCTGATTATGTGTTCCATCTTATTGTGAGCATTATTGAGAAGGCTTGAAGTTTGTCTGTCTTTACAGATAAACAGAAGGTCTACACTTGGGTTGCCCCTAGAAGGCCATCAAACCGTGAAATCTTCAGCTACAACAGTACAAAAAGAACAGGTATGATTTCTGCTTTCTCTTACATTGAACTTAAAGATCCATGTATTTTATATTTAGATGAAATTTGTGATTTTTTACCCTTCCATTCCATCAATGACATTTAAAATTTTAAACACTTTATTGCTTCAATAGAAACTGCAGAATCCAAGGCCTGTTTACACAGTTACAAAAGTTGAGCTCTTCAGAGAATGTTTGAGGTCCCTCAAGCTGAACCACCAGGTTAATAAATTTTGTTTCTTTTTCTTCAGCTAATTTTGATGCGTATTTGTCTAATACAGTAGTTATGGAATTCTTCAATAGGGTAGATATAGGCTCATTTGACGTGTACGGTAGGATAATTTTTTTAAAACAAAGTCTATTATTACTCATTTTTGCAAAGTAATCCAAGTCATTTGTGCACCCAACCTGTTCTGTAGATAAAATCCTTACATGTTCTAAATGAAAGATGTGCTGATCACCCTATTTTTACACAATATATTGTCTGATGGGATGATATATGTTTAAGTTTTATGCGTCTTTGTAGTTGTAACCTTATGAGAATCCACAAGAAGCAATCTACAAATTCTGAAACTTCTAATCACAATTATGTCAGTGGCTTCGTATAACGTGCTTTATTCCCCCAGTATTGCATTAGTTTTTTCTGGTGTGGAAGTTGATCTTAATAGCTGTTTTTCTAATGCTTTCTTTATTTGTTATAGGATGAGCAAGCAAGAGTCAGAAGGGCCTTTGAAACACTCTTAATTTATGTTGGGAATGTTGTCAAGAATCCCAACCAGGAAAAATACAGGAAGATCCGATTTAGCAACCCATTATTCCAGGTAACACGTTGTTTTGATCAATGGTAAGAGACTATAGGTTCTCTGAAAAATTTGATAATTTAGATGGCCATATCTTTACCCCTCTAAATAGTTAATTCAAGCTGGGCCATTAAGTTTGGGGATACTGGCATTCCTTGTGTCTAATTAAGTGGATTTAGTTAGAACTGGTTTTTACACTTTAGAGTTGTTACAGTGCGCAGAATATGTCTTGTCTGTCATAATTTTCTATCTCTTTTTGAACAGGATAGAGTTGGGAGTTTGATTGGAGGTGTGGAATTTCTTGAACTATGTGGGTTTGAGAGAACGGGTGACTTTTTGTATCTTCCCGAGGAAAAGGTGGACATAACACTACTAAATTCAGCTGGATCCGTGTTGGAGTCTGCTATCACAAATCCCTTCTTTGGACTTTTCAGTACTCGGACAGTGTCATAATTATCTTTCACTTGATCTTCAATTGAACTCTTGATGCTAGTATGGAAACTGATGTATCTATTTTAGGCCCCCCTGGATCAAATAAAGAAACCATGTTATGCTTTGGCAATGAATGCAGTTGATTTTATCTGAATTATACCCGAGAATACTGTTTTTAAGAATTATTCTACCTACACGGATATGACACCATCCAAAAGCAATTAGACTTTGTCATGCCGTCCATGTTTGGATATTTGTGAATTAATCAAACATCATTTTCCAACATCACCCATGTATTTTTTATTTGTCAAAATTTAATCTCACAATATTTTGCAGCTAAAAATAAATACCTCAGTTGATAAGCCTTGTTTTGGCCACACAAAAAAATGATAAGCCTTGCCCTTATAATATATTTTTTCAACATAAACGCTAATTTTATAATAACATTGCTTTATTGTAGATAAACTACTTTTAGAAACTAGCGTCTAGAACACTGCATATATGGATTTTTTCCCACCTTCTAGTCACTAAACAATAAATATATTATAGTAAAATATTATAGCAGTTGGCCTCGGAATGCAGCACCGTTGGCCGTTTTTAATAAGAACGGTGGAAACGTTAGTTTTAAATGCTGTTTCAAAATTAATAACGTTTAAACATGGATAGGTCATGATAATTAATATAATTAAAGTGTAATAGTATGAATGGTGTTTGTAGTTAGGCACGCTGTCATATAGTTGAATCCTAGCAAAGCCCATGAAAATTCATGTTATTGAAAATATCATTGCATATGGTACTGTCTCATAGATTATTGAAAAAGATGAAGGTTCTAAATCCAAGATACAGATACTCTATCATATTATTATAAGTAAATAAGTTCATACTTCAAGCATGATTCTGCAGAACTCTTGCATCTGATCTTCAGGTAAATCCAGGCAAATATTAAGACCTCCATCACCTTCTGTTGCCGGCAACATCATAACCAAACCAGGCTTAAGTTCAAGTGGAGTAGCACATTTTACTCTACCCCAAGCAAATTCTTGATCCTCTAACCCTAATTTCATCCAAGCCACCAATGAAAAACTGTTTTCTGAACAGGGCACTCCTCTGTTTTCCTCTAACCAGTCAATCCCTGACCTCACATACTCTTCATCTATCCTCTCAATCCCCTCTTTCACTTTCCTTATCAGAGAAACATCATCTTCTTCCCTGAGCTCCTTCACAGTGGCCCTAGCAAATCCAGGGACCAGTGCATTACCTGCAAACCCTTCTTCTTGCAGTTCTGGCACAATCCACTTCCTCACTTCAACTGGGAATAGCATTGTGGATATCTCTTCCTCTGGCATCTTCATTGCAAAGCTCCTTGCTTTCCATATTCTCACTGCAACTACTTGAAATGAACTGATGTTCTTTAAGGTGTTTTGCTTCATCATAGCATTCTTCTTGAAGCTGGAAACTTGTTGTGCTGATAAATGAAGCACATGAACTTTGTTTTCTGTTATGGATCTTGGTCTGGTGATTCTGATGCCACTTGTGCCACGAGAAGTGAACACATTATTGCTGTTTGTGCTTGTGGTTTTGGAGTATTCATAATGTGGATCAGAAATTTTTAAAGGGTTTCTTGCTTTAAGAAATGTTCTATCTGCATTGGGTATTATTCTGAAGCTATCACCTCTTGTTAAGGCAGCTAAGTTCTTCTCAAAGTCACTTATTGCTATACCATCAAGTGTGCAGTGGTTATAGTGAGAGGCAAGTGCCAAGCTTCCACATCCAAACTGAGTTAACTGTCATAACCACAAAATAATTAATTTTCAGCAAAATTTTTTGTGGAAAAATAATCAATCTATATAAAATTTATAAGAAGCCAAACTATTCAAAACAGATTGATGGAATGTTTCCATTTCATATTAGTGTGGGAAAAATTAAGTTATCACTTCTTTTGATTATTAATCAAGTCCCTGTTGTTTCAGGTGATCGATAAAAAGAAAAGAAAACTACAGGGGCCTCATTGATAATAGAAGTACTTGCGAACTAACTTTCCCTATTACTGTGCATTGCAATAATAGATGTTTTCTAGCAAAGGATTAGCAGAACAAACTCAATCAGACCAATTAAATTGCATCTGCATCAAATATGCATGTTGCAACAGACAATATTTAGATCAGAATCATGGAATTGTAGTTGCGATTCAAGAAAGAAATATGTGAAAGGAAGCTTCAGTAGAATTAGAAACCTGTAAAGATGTAAGAGGCTTATCTTTCAAGTCAATTTCTTCATCCTCTTCAAGCAAGAAACCAATGAGCTGCTTTAACCTTGGATTAGACACAGACATATCACCAAATTCACTCAACTCTGTATCAGTTTTTGCTGCGGCGACAACGATGCCGGCACCATTACAGTCGATCTCAAAACGATCACCATCTGAACTTGGCACAAGACGACCAGCCATGAAGTCATAATGCACAAGCATTTGACGTAGAGCACTATACAACTTGCTACAAATCTCAGAAAAGCTCATTTGTTTACTTGGAGGATCAAAGAAGGAGGAAGAATCTTGATAAGCAACTAGGGTTAAGTCAATATTCGACAAGAACATTCTCTTATTGGGTGTGGATTCTTCAGGACAAATCACAATTTTCTCAACCAGTTCTATATCATCAATGATTGCCTTCATGTTTGATAAAATGTGACACGAATTAATCAGGATCTCTAATGTGGTTTCTAGAGATAATGAGAAAACTTGATCCAATGTTGGATGATGTTTGCCTAAGGTGGCTAAATATAGTATCGTTTTTGTAACATCATGAGAAAGCATATTTATATAGAATTAATGAAGGTCTTGTAACATTGTTTTGGCAAGTTACATAATGTTATTTCTCTCTGCAGTTATGACTTTTTGGAAGAGAAGTTGCATTTGAAAATTTAATTTCAGCTATTTCTCTTCACATAACTTTCTCTTCAGTCTTCAGTTCTCTTGTCAAGTTACATAATGTTAACTTATTTCTCTTCACATAAGCTTTTTACTGTTTCGTGTGATATATTTAGGAAGGTTTTGTTTGTTCGGTTATGACTTTGGAAGTATTTGGGACCAAACAATTTTTGGATTTTCGGAACCATAAATTTTTCATTTTAGAGCAATTTTGATTATTAAATGGGGCCCAACAAGAAGTTTATTACTCCTCTGATCCTATTTATAAGGCACTTACGGTATATTTCACACAGACCAAGAAAAACTTTAAAATGTATTAACTCTCTATTAAAATATAATAACCTTTCAATTTTATCCCTATTTAGTATATACAAATTTTTTAAAAAAAAAGCTATTTATACTATAATAAATGAAGGATGAAATCATATATTCATGTTAAAAATTTAATAAAGTGACTTATAAATAAGAAAAAAAATCTTCTATCTTTGTTTTATAAATAAGACCAGAGAAGTAATTTTTTGCCAAAAAAGAAAGTTTTAGTGTTAAAGAGATTTTTTTTCCCCAATTAATGTGAATAAATTTTTTTACCTTTTATGAAATGCGGAGAATATTAACTACACTCTTCATTTAAGATCTCATGCTTTTTTTAATCCATTACTCAATGTAAGGAATTTGTGCATCCATCATGCCCACTGAAGGTTAAACGTGTAATCCCATGTTTAAATAAGATTTAAGGAGATATTTAGTGTTAGCTAAATTAAGATCTCATGCTCAAGGATCCGAAGTTTTCATCCCTTTTAAACATTAATTCATATGACATTGGATTAATATATACTTTATACAAATTATTTACAGTAAGTTTTGCTGAAAGTATAAATTAGTTACATTGATTTTATCTAAAGTTTAGACTAATTCTATTTGGCATCCTTCTCATTGCATGAGTATCAGTGTGTCACTCCATTCTAGACGTTCATGATGCATTGCAAAAAGCTTTTGAGTATTTAATTTCTATCAATATGTTAATTTGAAAGATAATAAAACTTTCAAGATACCTAGCAAAATCATAAACAATATAACTATTGATATTAATCATCATGAAAGAAGCGTAGATTTTTTAACAAGCTAATGCAAGTAGTGTTAAATGGGTGGAATATTATACTCGCCCGTTCTTAATATAAGACTTAGGGGATGTTTGGCAACCCTAATAAGTGTTTTTAAAAAACACTTTTTTCCCAAATCGAAATAATCTCCTCCACATGTTTATTTCATATATCGTAAAAGCATTTTTAAAACCATAATTTGATTTTTATCCAAACACCCTCTTAATTATTAAATTGATTTTAATCCTAAATGTAAGATCTGTTTTTTACATTTATCATTCTTTTCTAAATTATCTCTATATATACCCCCTCAATCATAATCAAGTAAGAGAAAGGGAGGATCTTAAGAAAGATGATTATGGTATTTTAGAAAAAAACATATCATATTTTTTATAATTAACTAACTTACTTAACTTTTCCAATCTACTCAACTTAGTTAAATATATCTTATATTAAGGATAGGAGGAATGCAAACACATTTTTCATCAATATGAGAAGTTATCCTTAATGAGGATATCAATAAGTTAACAGATGTGCAGATTTTCTTGCGCTACCCAACTATAATTTGAAACTTTTCTTGGGACTTTAGTCTGGTTTCTTTTTGCTCATAGAACCCTTTTTAAAAAAAATTAAAAGTTGGCATCAATGTGTATTACATATGAAATACTACCTCTGGTCCTTAATATAAGAACTCGTTTGACTTTTATTTTGGTCCTAATTGTAAGACCCCAATCCACTTTATCTCTCATATTTATATATTTTTTCTAAGGTAGTCCCCCTAATAATGGTAGTTCTAGCTAATAATCTTGATTAGTAAGGATATTTTAGGAAAGACAACACATATTTATTACAAATAACTAACTTAACTTATTTTCTTAATCTCTTCAAATTAGTCAACTAGCTCTTATAATTAGGACCGGAGGTAGTATAAGAAATAAAATTTAAGCTGAGCAAGTGGTTCAATGCCAGGCAAATCTGACCTTGTTCTCAAGCCATTTGAGCTATTTGAATTTTGGATTTAGGGTCAAATCCTACCTTATCATCAAGCTATTTAAGCATGAATATGCTGCTAGTAAGTATGAGCATCTCTCCCAATATTTTAA